TACTTGTACCTTAATGTTGGATGCTTGATGTTGGACGCTTGGTGGTATGCTTTATAATATAAAGCGGGGGGAAACCCTTTTTCGTCACTCACCTTCTCCCCCACCTATTACCATCGTTCCGAGTGCCTAGCTAGGACACCCTACCAAGGAATCTTCCAGATTAAGCTCCCACACAAATGTTGAAAATTTCTAATTTTGTATAATGTAGTAGCAACAAGAATCCTTGACATCCAAAGTGAAACCATAACACGAGAAACAAAATGAAAAATTTCATTGATGATAAATAAACTAGGCCAAAGTGAAGACCCAATTCACATTGTCATGTTCAAATTGTGATTTGTCTTTTTATTTATTGATATATATTTTAAATTGGATTTAAAATTTCATACAATGGTAAATATGAATTGTAATTGCATCCTAACAAAATTTCATCAACTTTAAATATTTCTTTTTTTTCAGATCGGGTGACTTGTAGCACCAAATGCTCGGTGCACCGGATATGTTACCTGGTTACCACCGACGAACTAGCTAAGTGGGTTGAGCCCCTTGTCGTGAAAGGGTACACCTAGGTTCCTTAACATTGGCAATGGTCGACAAATATGAATCATCTTATCTCATGACATAGCATAGAATAGGACCGGTAATCGCATATGGGGAGTGCTATATAGGTCGGCCTGTTTAGCGACCTTTCCTTAGGATTTTTCAAGCAATTTGGTGATTGCTACATCGTTTTTTCTTCTCTTTTTTTTTTCTTTTCTTCCATGTTCTTTATCTATTTTTTGACCCATTTTTCTGTTGTTTTCCCTTTTCCTTTTCCCGTTTTATTTCTCATTGTTCTTATAATACATGAATATTTTATTCAAGGTTTTTGAAATTCATGATACTTTTAAAATTATTTTAATATTTTTTCAAAATCATTGTTGTTAATATTTTATATGTTTTAAAGAATCCTAAAAAAATTATAGATCATAATTTGAAATTTGGAAACACTTTTCTAGTCATTGAACATTTTTCTAGATTTTTTTTTGAACTTGGGAATTTTGTCTGGAAATCGGAATATACATTGTTTACATTTTTTAAACTATAATATTTTTGCCTCGAAACAAATTTAATTAATAAAAAATCACATTTATTTTCAGAATTTAAAAGAAGACGATATTGCCAACCCACAAGAGGCCTCGTGTGCTTGATTTGCCTCACTATTTTTTGCTTATCTTTACCCAAGGCCCGCAACAGCAACTAATCAACGAGTATTCCTTTGGGAGTCCTCGCAAGGGTCACTTTTGGTGGGCTAGGAGCGTGCCACTTGATGTATTCTCAGCCGTCACCATTTGTCGCGCTCTGGATGCTCCCTCTTTATTTTCTTTTCATTTTCTGCACTCATTATCGTCTTTTA